ATTTTACAGGTATATTAAAGCGAAACTAGCCAAGCAGGCTAAGCCCATTAGCCCATATTAAAAACCAAAATATGGCAAAATATTTACATTATTAAAATTCCCGCTCATATGAAAACAATTTTGTTGAAAAAAAAGAAAAAGAAACTGCAAATCTCTCCCAGATTTACCTCTTCCCATAGGCAAACTTGGAAGCAAAAATAATTCAACAAAAATCAGCGTGATTTCAAACCATATCTTGATTTCGAAACAAATTTTTGCTGTATTCTTTTCTGTAAAAATGCCCGCCATTTTGTAAGTTTTCGGGGGGGTGAATGCCTCTGCGTAGCGCACTGGCTAAGCTTTCGGTTACACTCAAACATTAGCGTTTCGTAATACAGTTACACCTCTGTCCAGTATCTACTCTGTGGCTGGGGTGGAGGGATCCTCAAAAGAAGTTAGGAAAGATTACAAAAAGTTAGATTCCCAAAAAAAGTTTACAAAAAGTTAGATTGGGGGTTGGGGTTGTGTTAGGGGTTAGGTGATGCGAATTTATCATATTGATAAATTCGGACATGTTTAACAATTTACTCGTATTGTAAATTCAAAGGTGGGAGTGTTTTATCCCGCTTGCCAAGATGAAATTACAATGCAGTTGTATAATACATAGCACATGCAAAACTTCTACTACATTTCAGTCATGCAACACAAATAGTTAGCGATTTTGTTTTTCTTTATTTACTTGCAATAAAAATTATTATTTTAGCAGCATATTTAATATTTGTTTACTAAGTACAAAGCATTAAATTAAACAGCAAGACTTTTTTCACTTATCCCGGTAAGTAACTTATCCCGCCTACCTATGATTTCGGCAAATTCAAGGGAGATCTTGGGAAGTGGGCCAGTTCGCTTTCTCATATGAACACAATGCAAAATTTTATGGGAAAATAACTAGGCGGCGAGATCATTGTGAGTGGGACATCCAGGTATGTGGGATCATATGGAATGCAATGCACCAATCAGACAGAAAAGAAAACTTTAAAACACACTGAACTTCATAGACTGAGCTTTATGTTTCGTAAAAGTTCAATTATATATTTTAAACAAGACGCTCTACAGCATGTTAACTCGCTGGGACTATACAAATGAAAACTAAAGTTTGTCAGTTGTCACCATATTTGCTCATAATTTGGTAATTAACCGCGAAAGGGAAAAAAATGTACAGAAAACAAGATGCCACCTCAGGCATTCACACTAGCCTTGGTTGACCAAATAACTTCTCATATGACTTTTGTTTCCACCTCTTTCTCAGAACGGCACAAGATGATTGGTTTTGTTTATTTGTTTTTTTGTGATATGCATTGTGCATCATTCAAACTAAAAAACTATTGTAATGATGTGAATTTGTATGTTTTGCATGCGAAGGACGAAGAACCATTGTCCTTCTGTTCAGGCAACACATGCTGTGCTTTTGAAAACACAGAAAACAAAAATTCAGAAAACACAGAAAACAAAAATTCCAGTTATATAGAATAGTTTTTGGTGAACTATCTTCAAACTTATCAAGTTTAGCACGGCAATAATTTTTATTGTTTACAGAATTGCCTTCACAACTAACAGTATTTGACACAGATTATATTTTTGAATATTGTGTGCCAATGGCAATGCACCCTACTTTATCATTTTAAGCCCTGTTTACACTATGCTTAATTTTTGGTACAGCACAGACAAAACTGGTACCAGTACCACTGTTTTGGTTCTTGGACTACCTATTTAGGCAGTCCAAGAACCAAAAAAGTGGTACAGTACCAAAAATCAAGTGCAGAGTAAACAGGCTTTCTAAATGTCTGCATACCAGTCATTTTGCTTGTCAAGGGGAGAGTGCTGCCGCTCTCAAATTCGTTAATTTGTATTGCAGGTAGGTGGCTCAGTTTTGAAGTTTTTGTTAGTATATATAATGACGGCTGGTTAATTTTGCAGGTTGCAGGTTCGCAATTCCCTACATCCAGATGATGAATGAGATCAGTGACTGATCTCCACTTCCGGTTTTCATCACAAACAATAACTTAATACTGGTATATATAGAATACAGCAAATGTCTATTATAAGCTATACTAGAAAATACATGCATGCAGAAACCCTCGCCTGGGCTTGCTGACAAAACTATTATGTTTTCCAAACATGAAGTATTGTCATGGTAACACGACAATTTTAAGAACAGTTTTAAAATTGAGAAATCCCCCCCAAATAATCAATTTCCCAAACATATATATGCTAGGAATGTTATCAATACGTAATATAAGCTTCAATTTAATGTAAATCTCAAACACAAACGCTTCACAAAACGTTTCAAAATGTTCTTAAAACTAAACTGCCTTTTATCGGTAAACATTGAGTTTCAAAATCGAAATAAATTGATTTCAAATTCTTGCATGAATATAACTCACTGTCATGCAACAGAGATATGCTGAAAACCGGAAGTGGAGATTAGTCACTGATCCCATTCATCGTCTGGATGTAGGGAATTGCAAACCTGCAACCTGCAAAATTAACCAGCCAATATAATGACCCCAAGTCAGGATTTTATAGAACCAGACACAGTACTAAAATGTGGTGCCCCAAAATTTTGGCGTTTCCTTCCACAAGTAAAGTTTAGTACGCTAGTATTAAACCGCGCTTTAAAACGTCCAACATAAAAATATTATCAAAATGGAGAGAGAAGTGAGACAAATCAACTGGTATACGACTGAAAAAGAGAAAACCAACGATACCAAAGTTATCAAGGACCAAATGTACTGCATTTTTTTATAATAGTTGTTAGTTTAATCATTTTGAGCGATTTGTCAACAATACAATTTCACTTGGCTTTCAAAGACAAAAGCTATAAATCGCTAGAATACTATTGTTTAGTAATACATTTGACATCCGTAGGTACAGTTTCATACACTGAATCGAACGGTGGTATTTTTATCCTTATTGCGCCATAAGGCATTATAACTAAATACAAAGACAAACGTGCTGCGAGTGATTTGTCAACAATGAGTACTGCAAGCGATTTGTGAACAATAAATTTTGCTTGATTAGGCCATACATCGCTAAAATACTGTTGTTTAGTAATACATTTGACATCCGTAAGTACAATTCCTTATGCTGAATCTAACAGTGGTATTTTTATCCTTATTGCACCATTAGGAATTACAAATACAAGGACAAATGTACTGTACTGCGAGTGATTTGTCTGTCAGCACTCAGCAATACCTACTGCGAGCGATTTGTCAACAATACAATTTTGCTTGATTTTGAAAGGCCATAAATCGCTAGAATACTGTTGTTTAGGTCTGGAGGCAGATCATTAATGAGGTATGGACTAATAGCGGCTGCTCAAGTGCCATTTGTAAGCTCAAAGTCTATCTCGGTCTGCTTCACGTCAGTCCGGTTGATCTATCTAATCATAATGTAAAACTTCTGCAATTCAGTGTATGCTGCCATGGAAGTTCAAATATACTATCTATCTATCTATCTATATATTAGGCATTACAATATCATATTTCACACTACAGCACAGTTTTGTTTCTACAGCTAACTATTAGGGACTGTTGTTGCATAAATTGTATATTGATATGACACCAATATGCTTCTCATAAAGTAGTTATTAAAACTATGTTGTGTTGTAAGTTATAACCTTTTACCTTCAAATTGAATTACCTTCAGATTCAGCATATTAATATTATGATTGTGCACGCCAACTGCACAGGAATTGAAAGATCCAAATTTCGGATTTTCAGAGTCATGCACCAAGAAAAATGCATTAACTAAACTAGCAAAAATGCCCAGAGTTAGACACCATGCAAAATCGATAGACAACAGGTACAATTCGTTGAAAATTTTAACAAAATTGTTTGAAACATTTTGCCCACTCCACGAAAAGCTGCCATCTTGAAAAGGATCAATTGGGTTTTATTAGGCAGCTCATCAATATTCTATTTTGTGGCTATCCACAATTGGAGATCTAAGAACAGAGCTGAAACCTATACTCACCTGGGCACAGGTGCCCCAGCGAGTAATTACCTAACTGTCATTTGAGAATTATGTTTAAATGCATATCATGCTACAGACATCTTTAATTAAAATTCATTGACATTGATGTAAAAGTTGAATACAAGCAGTTTGAAAAATCAAAACTGAACAATTAAGACGTTAAAGAAGAGAAAGTTACGAGTACACCCACAAAAATTTAACAAGAACAAAATGAATATAACAGGATGAGCGGTAATAAATACTACAGTGCTAACAATACGTGTATGCACACCAAAAAACTTTAAACATACGATTTTAAACAAGGAAATAGTAATGTCTAATGATGATGATAATTCATGTTGATAAATTTCTAACTTACTTATACCCAACAATCCAGTTAGTTCCCATTCCACTCGTATACAATTCCGTTTTCGTCTTGTCATACACGAGACCTTACCCTCAAGATTGCTTCGCAATAGATCTAGAGTGATACAACCAAGGATATTAATTTAGAGGTTGAGCAACCAAATTGTAAGTTGCTTATCACAAAAAGTATATAACACTTACATGTTCATGTGAGGCATAGCCTTGATAAACTCCTTGCAAGTCACACAAGTTATTCTACAACCATCATTCAAAGTCTCAATCGTAATCTTCTCCAATTCCAGCATGTTGTGTGCTGCTTTTATGTCCTCTATGTTTACAGTTACACTTGTATGGTCGGTGGTTTTGTTTGGAGTAGACACCAAGGTTAACTCATCCAGTTTCACAAGAATTTCATTTACTGTGTCTTCTATTGTGTCTAGTGACGATTGTCCGGTTTTCCCACTTTCGCAGGCTTTGAAAAAAACTGTTGACTGTCGTTTGGATTTTTTTTTGTGCACCTGAAGCTGTTGGTTGAGTGTCGACCGATGGAGTTGGTGAATTTTGTGAAATCTGGCTTCTGGCGTCACAATCTTCAAGATTATCAGCATTATCGTCATCACTGCTGTTGTTGGCATATATACATATATACACTGCCTCATCCTCAGCTGGACGAACATTGTTATGCTTAAGTAACTCCTGGGCTTTGATATGATTTTTTGGGACTATTAATGTTTGAAATTTGGTGTTCTTTTCATCCTTGTGTCTTTGGTTCCAGTGGCATCCTTTGTAGGAATTTTTACCTCTTGCCAAAGAAGACAAACATTTGGGTGACTTTGGTTCTTCTAGCACTTTTTTTGCCTTGTTTTTCCACACAATCTTCACTATTGTTTTTGCGTTTATTAAAGATTGCAACATTTTGTTCTAAAGTGAAAACAGTACCACTAGCTAGTGTCATTTATGCAACTTCAAAATGTTGGTGTGATAGCCATCGGCATTTGCAACATTTTTTCATACAAAACTACAATGGAATAATTGTAGTTTTAATGAGAAGAGTGAGGAGATAATATGAAAAGTTACTTTTACCGTGCTACCTATGTATAGTAGAAAATAGATATTTTATGTACTGTTTAATACACGAGTAGGAGTGTTTTATCACATATAAAACACGACGCGTAGCGCGGAGTGTTTTATATGTGATAAAACATGAACTACGAGTTTATTAAACAGCTTCAAAAACGTCTCACTTAGATCATGGCATTGGCGAAATAATTTTCCAAAATAACTTTATATTAGTTGAGAAAATACAAGTTGAAATTTGAAGCGTATTTTTATCACATATAAAGGCACGATTTCTCTTTGTGTTTTCCTCATGAATTGTTAATGAGTTTTTGAAACAAATATACAATATAGTACATCAATGTACTATATTGTATATTTGTATAAAATATCTATTTATACACAGAATGTCATTAAATAATTAAATGAATATTTAATTAGGCAACTTAATCATCAGCCATTGCACTCGCACAGATTTCAGAAAAGTTGCATGTAAACATAGCCACCCACACATGCCACAATTTGCATATGTAAAAGATATGTAAGACATATGTAAACTTATTGGACTACATGATGTACAGCAGTTCATCACTTGGAATGTGGGCTCTCCAAAGAAGGGAAAACAAAACAAAAAGCTGATAAAACTAATCTTCAGTCACGAGTGCAAAATCTAGCAAACCTGCTATAAATATAACTATACAAGAAACCAGAAGATTCAAGAAAGCAGAACTTCTAGTCAAGACTCAATTATAAAAGACATTTCGAACAATTTAGGAATTGGCGACAAAATTGAAAAAGCATTTACAACTTTATAAGACCATAAAGACATTGGCCTATATAGAGACGACAGTTTGGCTCTTATAAAAAGTAAATCGGCACGTTTAACAGACAAAACGCACTCATACATAGCAACTTCAATCATGATCTTAGCTACGCTCAACATGCTCCACAGCAAGCACACAGAAATAGGCTATGTAATATTTGATTCAACCCACCACCCACCGTGTCAGCACCAATATAGGCCGTAATTTCCTTAGTCTTATTGACAGGCACTTTCCATCGCACCACAAGCTGCATAAGATCTGTAACAGAAATACAGTGAAAGTAAGTTATAGCTGCATGAACAATGTTAAGTCCATAATCACTATTTCCTGTGAGCTATGCCAAAGTTATTTTCATCACTGTGGTTACCTTTAAATGTAATACACTGTTTACAAATTCTAACCTATGTATACATATTAGGGCCACTTATACGGAACAAAATAAGACACGACTTACATAAGACGCGACTTAAGTAAGACGCGAGTTTGTCGTATAAAAGGTACAAAATTCTTATGTAAGACGCGTCTTGGATAAGACGCGTCTTACATAAGAACAGGTCTTTTAGCTGTTCTTATTTAAGTTGCGTCTTAAATAGGAAATTTGGGGCAAAAAGTCTGACTACACATGCCAGAAACTTGAAACAACGTAAAATTATTAGCCTTGCATATTAAAACAAAAACAACCAAAACAACATTATAGCTATAGCAAATAAATAAGACAAAAGCGGTAGAGAACCATTTATGCGATAACTCCGCTTATTTAAGTCGCGTCTTACGTAAGTCGTGACTTATTTTGTTCCGTATAAATGGCCCTATAGTCTCTAATCTAAAATTAATTTCCTTAGTGTTATTGACAGGCACTTTCCATCGCACAACAAGCTGCATAAGATCTTTAACAGAAATACAGTGAAAGTAAGTTATCCCCGAGCCGACGGCGCGAAGTGCCGTGCGAGGGTACTAATAAAATAATTAACAGTGCTGGAATTAAACAATGACAGTGTGTTTAACCATCAAGTCCATGCTTTAATAGCAACTTAAAGTACAATGTAGATTCAAAGTGACCCTACATTAATTCTTTATGGCTTTGCCACTCTATCACCAAAGTAAGAGTAAGCTTTTTGCTTAAGAAGTGAAGCACTTGAGTCTAGGCAAAATACTGTTTCATATTTTATTGCTCGAAAATTAATGGTTGAATATACAAGTCATAATATATTTTGGCACTGTTAATCCCCGAGCCGGCAGAGCGAAGCGCCGTGCGAGGGTACTAATTCCCCCCGGCTATTTACACCCGGGGAAACGAAAGCATTAGCGGAGTCTAAAGTTCATCAAATATCGCGGGCATGGGTCACCAACGGTGTTGGGTGGGTGGTCATCCTCACTGACCTCAAAAATATGGCGGACTGTCATGAATATCAGACACTGATTGGTCCAATTTAAAGTTTGCATAAACGACTGCATCACGACAGCGAAATAGCAAACATTTCTTGATTTGACGATTCACGATTGATAAATTTCTTGCGAATATATTTCATTTTTGCTCGCATTTTTGCAATATTTTGTAAATTTCAAAAGCTCTCTCAGAAAGAAACTGCGAAAGAATCAGCTAGAAGAAGGGAGCCGACGAAGGTAAGTTTGTTTTAAATATTGATTTTATAATGGCCGCTTTAGTTTAAAACCCGACGGCCTTTGCGTATATGAAACAACTAAACAAGACAGCATATAATTTCAGTGTATCTTTAATATTGATTCCCTTTTTAGTGCAATGTTTCCATGGAAACGTTGCACTATTGTGATGAGTGGCGAAATTCAAGCAAGAGATACATAGAGTAAACTTTCCGGGGGGGAGTTGCAAATGTTGTTCCAATGCCATATCTAAAAAAAACTTCAAGGTTGGACAATTTTTAACGTTAAAACGGTATTTATAGCAATAATAAAATTTCTTAAATTTGATTTAGCTTGACGATCAATGTTTAAACGTCTACATTACAGCAATGCTAAAAGTTCAATAAGATAACAAATACGGGTATTCGTGCTAATAGCACCCCCCGTATCATCAAATTTTCGTGAGAACTGCAAGTCAGCAAAATAAATATGGCGACGCGTGTGAGTGCTGGTCGAAATCTTAGAACAGGCCTTGGGCAAACGACTTAACATGGATATATATTATTTCGATGCAATTTTAGACTCTATTTCAAGGTTCAACTCGCCGCATTTCATACGAGGCCCGAGTTTTTGCATGTCTATTTATGATTTTCTTTATAGTGATATTTCAATTTAAATCTCGTAGCTCAATTTATGTCAAGAAATTTAGTTATACAACTATATTTTATTCTTTCTATGACTGTAGCCAGTATAGGCAGACACGTTATTTTATGTATAACATGAAATATATCTTCGCCTAGTATATCATGCAATATCATGTCTATATATAAACTGCCGCATTTATTGCACGCTCGTATATATTAAATCTATAATTTCAACCCTAATCTGTCTTTATATGAAAATTAATCTGCTATAAAAGCATAGTCATATAAAAACAGCATTTTTTTTATATAAAAATATAATTTGCGTGCTGTATAGTCTCATATATACAGTCTGTGAACAGACTGTAGCCTACCTTCAATCGGTGTCGCAGAATTTGACAAATGATGTGATCTTGTTTTAATTATTCATTTTATAATAACAAGGCCCGTATATTGTAGCTTGTGCACATGCAGACAGTCGCATTAGCCCTATTCACATTAGAGACGGACAAGTCGTCTGGACGAACAAATCGTCTCTCAAAAATCGTCTTCACAGACGGACAAGTAGTCGAACAAATTCAGACGACTTGTTCGTCTAAAATTTTGTATGACACGTTTTCACATCTGACGATTTGTCCGACTAAAAGACGATTTTGAGACGATTTGTTCATCTAGACGACTTGTCCGTCTTCTAATGTGAAAACGGCTATTGAGTTTTATTAATAAGCGCGAAGTTTGCTGTTGCCATAAACTAGTCGAGATACTAGCTTTGTGCTTTTGTTAACAAAGCCTTTGTTTCAATAAATTTATAACTGAATTCAAGATTAACATTTATTATGTCTTAGGTACAGTTCGTAGCCGTAGGTCATCGTAAATACAATCGTCAATGTCAATGTCAATGACAATGTTTATACGTTTATAAAAAGTAGCCAAGTTGGCAAATTTACTGTTTTGGCAATTAATGACATTCATTATTGTGTCATGTTGCCGAAAATTGAGCCTAACCAGACACAGTACTAAAATGCGGTGCCCGCCTACAAATAAAACTTTTGGCGTTTCCGCCTACATGCACAAGTAAAGTTATATTTAGCACGCTATACATTCTCCTGTCGACCGCCAGTTGGTCCGTACGTTAGGATCAAAACTGCGTTTTAAAGCCTTCAAAATAAAATATTTTGGGCTCAAAATACTATCAAAATGAGGAGAAAAGTGAGACGAATCCACTGGCATACGGCCGAAAACGAGAAAACCAACAATTCCGACGTTATCAAGGATTAAACGGACTGCATTTTTAATTACTTTAATAATTTTGAGCGATTTGTAAACAATACAATTTCGCTTATTAAAACTGCAGATTAAAACCTTCAAAATATAATATTTTGGGCTGAAACTACAAACAAAATAAAGGGAAAAGTGAGACAAATCGACTGGTAAATGGACGAAAAAGAGAAAACCAACAATACGAAAGTTATCAAGGTCAAATGTATTGCATTTTTAATTAGTTTAATAATTTTGAGCGATTTGTGAACAATACAATTTCGCTTGTCTTTCAAAGGCCATAAATCGCTAGAATACTGTAGTTTAGTAATTCATTTGACATCTGTGAGTATAATTTCTTACACTGAATCGAACGGTGGTATTTTTGTCCTTATTGGGCGCATAAAACCAGAGATAAGACGCAGCAAAAAGTCAATCGTGAGAGTGAGAGTTGTAATTCGAAAGAAAACTTTCCTCGAAAAAAGGAATTCGGAAAGCGTGAAGGATTATTTTGAGCGTCTTTTGTCTTTCAAAGGCGACAAATAGCTAGAATAGAAGTCAATTTTGAAATCAATTTTCCATCCGTAAACACAACTTTTCACGCTGATTCGAACAGTGGTATTTTTGTCCTTGTTTGACGCGTAAAACCAGAGATGAAGCTAAGCAAACTGTCGCTCATCATGAGTGTACACGATTAATAAATTCCGAGCACGTGCAAGGAATTTTTGGTAGGCAATTAAGGAAACATATTGATGCGAACAAACTAACAAACAAACTCACAGGCAGAATATAATGCGGTGCCAAACTTTGGGCACCGCAATCTTATCGTATTAAGCATAATCTTGTCTGCGTTTCTATATATTAAATAAATTGAGATGCTACAAAATAATATACAGGAATTTGGACAAAACTAAATTTTGTATGCTGTATTATGTATATTAAAGCAATTGAGACATCCATGGTCATGCATGCAACAGTTTATACGGCATTTGCGTCACAAACGTAAACAAACGGTCGGAAATTTTTGCGATTTGTGGTATGGTTGGACGAAAATGGCTGTAATATTAAAGTTCAAAAGTTCATCTAAAAGCTCAAAACTTCGTCTACTTCAAGCTTACTGGTAATTTACGACAAAATTAGTTTGCAAAGTCGTAAAGATATATTGATATATTATTTGAACACAACATTCAACAAATGTTTACATAAAAACGCCACATATGAAGCCTGTTTACCATATCCGGTGGATAGCCGGGCTTTAGATTAAGACCAAAACTTCATATTATCCATGAAAACTAAATTTTCCATGGTTCATGAAAACTAAAATTGTCAACATAAATAGAGCAATAATGTTTGCAACTGCATATTCAATATATACATTTTAAGTTTAGCCATTCACAAAATGTATAACTATAAGAGAGTAATTTTTTTATTGACTTATCCACCGTTTACACCAAACGGACTTCGTGGGCTACAACAGACCGCTGGTCTCTCCGTGCTAAATTAATATAAACCTTTTGTCTTTTAGAATCCGTGCAATGTCAATCTAACAAAACATAAACAGTATAAAGTTTGTAAAACCATGCAATACCAGTCAGGAAACGCAAAAAGACTTACAAAAACTTCGTAACAATCATTTTTGTTGGGTCGTATTTGATTTGAAGGTTATCTAACGCTAACAAACTTTCTGCCACTTGGTCCTCGTTTAATGTATCCAGAGAGTTTATAATGTTCTTTAAAGAATCCTGGAAAATTAACAGTTCGATTGCGCCACCATCAATAGGTTTCACAAGAACTTGAACAGACAATTGCTTTTTGCAACTTACAAGCCTCATTCTGCAACCACATCTGTCGCAGCGCACAATATTATTCGCTGTAGCCTGCAGGATCTTCTTTGAGCAATTTGAGCAAAGGATGGACATATTTACTGATTTGACCATATCAATGAATGGAACGTTAATAACCTTTTCGGCAATGGTCTCAATCTCTGCCTCTGATACGGTGATCTTCTCAAGAGCCTCGTCAGTTATTGACTTAATAACACTTTTTACAGTCGTACTCACTTTTTTTTCGCCCGACCACTCACGAACTTGCAATTCCGTTATAGTGAACATTTGCCCAGCTTGTATCAGAGGAATTTGGTTCTCCCACAGATCGACCCGAATTTTACCCGAGCTGTCTGCGAAAATTGCTTGAGCCAACTTTAAATTTTTTGCTCCGACGACCGTGGTTTCGGCAACGTAAATTGCCTTGGCTCGCAAAGCTACACTGTCCGACGGTTCGCGGTTATTTAAAATTTCTTCAATTGGGATGATCTGATCTCCTGGATTTGCAATCTTTTCAAACTGGAATCTATACTCTGTCTGGTCAGGCGTAGAAAGCTTTGTCATGTCGTTAATGATTATTTTTCTCCCAGTGCCGACTTCGTGAACTTTTGAATCTTTAATGGTGTATGAGACTGTTCGCTATCCATGAACAACTGCCTTTTGTTCTTTGAGTACAGCAGAGCATCGATATTTTTGCCTTCCGTCTGTAAGACTAGGGTGGAATAATCCACAGTATTCTTCCTGTTTCTTTGTATTGGCGACAACTTGTGCACATAAGCAATTATCGCGTTTTCGCTTCTCGTATCTCGATTCGATGTTGGATTCGATGACGATGTCGAGGCCTCGGGCTTGCGAGTTTCAACATTTTGGGGGATTTTCGTGTTTATCGTGGTTTTACTTTTATTTGTCTTTTTGCCTTTTGACTTTATTACAACAGGATCTTTGGCCGACATTTTAAAGCGAATTGTTGCATTTATATCGCGACTTGAACAATAGCATAAGCCACGCCTTAAAATACTAAAAATAGCATGTGACAAGGTCTCATATTTTTAATGTGACTGTTTCCTGGCACATGTCAAGCCATATCAAAAGATTATGTAAACAACAGTGGCATGTGCACAACATGCATTTAACACGCTGGCAATATTTAAAGTAATGTGATTGGCTAATTGCTCGGTTCCCGCAACGATAGAATATTGCATCAGATGATGCTTATAGTCTTTATAGTTTGCAGAAGAACGATTTCAAAGAAAACGATGAATTGCAAAGATTGCGACACTAGAGATAATCTCTTGACTTGTCAGAGAGCTTTATTTAATAGCAAAAGACGAGGAGATAGCCGGTGTGCTATCGACAATCGCTTGACTTGCCAGCGAGCCTTATGTAATCGAGGAGCAAGGCAAGGAGATAGCCCACGTGTTATCGACACGGACCTTGTTCACGGGTCTAGCACAACGGTGCAAAATCGTGTTCGATTGAGAGAGAAACTATCGAGAACTTATGAGAAACTATTAGCACTTATGAGCAACTATGAGAACTTATCAGAAACTATCAAAACTTTATATGAAAAAGAACAATTACGCATATGTGAAACAGTTATTAGTCAATACAATATTGAAGGTGACCTTGGGAAAAAGTCAAAGGTCAACGATACTTGTAATTTCGAAACATTTCTTACTTCACTCTCAGAAAGCAATGATACCTGTGCAAAAATAAAAAGTGAAGTTTTACTTATGTTAACAATACAAAACAAGCATTTGGATTATAATGAGTCTAACACTTTCAATCGAAGTAGACTTCGAAGTATAAGTCATTTAGTATATGTTAAAAAGCGTGATCGTGAACCATCTAGGATTCCTATGAAAAAATTAGTTTATATGAGAAAAAATAAGAAAAAAAGGCGTAAAGTAAAAAAGTTCATAAGGCAGTTAATTCCCAAATCATCATCTTGGCATAATTTGCTTTCAACAAGTTACCGAAAAAATTTCATTCAGCGACAAGCAAATTCAAATGTATATTTCTGCAAATTTAGGAAGCCATGTCAAGCTAAGAAATTGAAAATGCACAAATTGGAAATATTAAAAATCAGGACAAGAAAACACAAGTTGTTTAAGTCAAGAAAGGCTCTAAGCACAAATAAATGCAACAAACGAAGGCTAAAGACATCTGACAGATGTTTTTTATTTGTGAGTGGTGATATAGAATTGAATCCAGGCCCTGTTGCGAATACGCCACTGTCAATTCTAACATCAAGATTAGCTAGAATAGGACTAAACCCAGTAAACATTGTTGGTGATGGTAATTGTTTCTTTCGTAGTGTAAGCCACCAACTTTACAGAACAGAAGATTGTCATTCGCAAATAAGAGCTCTCGCAATCCAGCATTTAATAAACTGCCCAGAACATTTTATAGAAAGTAACACACGTCAATCTTGGATACAATATTTACAGGACATGTCAATGCTAGGTACATGGGCTGATCATATTGTTATACAGGCAGTTGCGAATTCGAATAATTTGAGAATTCACATAACTGAAAGTGCCCCAAATTTTTCAGAATCAACAGTTGTAAGCTCTGTTTATGCTGAATCTGTAGCAAACATAAGAGACATTTATGTCGGACATCTTGATGAACTGCATTATGTGTCAACAACGCCTATTAGGCCTACACAGAGTGTTAATGAAACAACAGAAAAAAACAAAACTAACAAACCAAACATATGCTCGCAAAATACACAATTTTGCCAACCTGATACAAACAACAAGTTGGAAAAGAGAAAAAATACATGAAAGAATACATGAAAAAAAGGAGAAACGATAGTGAATTTAAAAAAAAAGAATCTCAGAGAAGAAAGTCTTATAACAAAAAATATAAGAATTCTCATTCTCAAAAAATTAAGGAATCTTGGCAAAAAGCAAATGCAACGTACAGACGTTTAAATCCTAAAAAAGTAAAAGAGTCTTTGAAGAAAGCCAATGCAACATACCGACTGTCACATCCTGAAAAAGTTGTACAATCATCAAAAATGTCAAATGCTATATACAAGCAAACTCATTAAAAAACATTTAAAGATAATCAAAAAAGGCAATATATTAAAAGAAAGCTAGATTTAAGTAAAAACAAAAATGAGATGAATAAACAGAAAAAAGTAGAAAACTATGTGAATTCTAATGCACGTGAAGACTTTGAGGTTCAAACTAATTCTGAGTCAAGACGATACATAACCGTAGTAAAAGCTATTG